GTGTGTGTGTGTGTGTGTGTGTGTGTGTGTGTGTGTGTGTGTGTGTGTGTGTGTGTGTGCATGTGCGTGTGTGCGTACACTCATGTATGTCTTTGTATGAGTGGGCTGCCCATCTTTTGCCTCCAAACTTAAATCCCCCATCATTGCTTCTCCACACCCCCACTTCAGTTCTCCTCTTCTGTTCTTTCATTCACCCGTCAAGCCATCAGGAGTGAGTGAACCGAAGATGTTATCTGACTGTATGTACATTTATTTGCATGTTTAAATTTGTTTCTTTAAATAATGGAACACTTTAACAAATTTGCAAGGGTAATATTTTTTTAAAAATGGTATTTGTCCAGGGTTTCTTCTTTTTTTTTCCTGATGCAGTCTGTCCCAAAAGTCTGTTGGCTTTTTGGTACACCAGRGCTCTGTGCGTCTTGTCAAAATAAGAGTTAATTAAGTATGAATAATTAACACCCGTGCCCCCCAACTGAGAGTCAGTAGAGCAGCTTCCCCGTGGCAGCAGTCGGACGGATCACACACACGGACCTCATTGCAGTCCACCGTGTGCCCAGTTTGTTCATTAGAAATACCCACAGCACAGACTCGTTGTGATCCTCACCACAGGATCCTACGCTGAGGGGGGTGGCAGAGAGCATCAGGGGTATGTTTGTTTCATCAGTGAAAAAGAATCATGACTGGATTATTGTCAGGCTGTTCAGCCTTTGCTTTTATTTCATGGAGAAGTTTTGGCTAATTGACAGAGACGTTTCGAAAGTTTTCAAAAATTGCATAATCAGACTCGGCATGTATTTTGAAAATAGAAATAGAAATTTCATTTTTGTTGCAATTGAAGTCCACACCAGCAACAAACCTTTAAAGGGATCCACGATTAGTTGTAACATTAGACTTTATTTGATAAACATATATTTTAACTGTAAAATAAAGACTGTAAAAATACTGTAGAATGTTTAGTTTTGTAAATTTTTAAAAGTATATTTTAACACAGAGGGAGCCATTTTATTTACACGCAAAGCATTCTGGGTAAATGATGATGTGGATAGGTCCTCGGTGTGAGTGAGCTATATCCTCCCTGAATGTTAATCTTGGACAATATCTGATGATCGACTCTTTTAAATGAAACCAGAGAGTGTTGACAGAGAGGAGAAGGTAGAAATGACTCAGTCTGTAACTGAAAATATGGATGGAGGACAACAGAGCTGCTTCATGGAAGAAGAACCTCAGCTTAGCCTGGTAGCCTTTGCACTAGCGCTGACGCTATATTGCCTTATATGTATTAGCTCGGTGCTAGCGTGACAAACAAGCTAAATTTAGGTCCTCCATCTATATTTTCAGTTACAGACTGAGTCATTTCTACCTTCTCCTCTCTGTCAACACTCTCTGGTTTCATTTAAAAGAGTCGATCATCAGATA